GAAGCATTATTCAAGGAGATGCATGAAAAGCTGACCCAAAAACTACTGACAGCATTTTGGAGCAACAATGATAATGTTATCATATAAGTCACATATCACAACACATGCTATTTTGGTTCTGCATAAATCTATAAATGGATATAGTTTTGGTGTCTTTTGACTATATACATTACAAGATAGTTAATCATAGTAAAAATGAATATATATAAATCCTAAATATTGATATAACTAGTGTATATCTAGAGTATATCAGTCTTATATTTTACACTAAATTATCCAATATGCCAGTGAGCAAAGTTCACCAGTTAGACTTTAGTGAACCAATATCAAGGTTCTTTAGAGTGTATTCAATTCAATCACTAGTTTCTTTTGATCAAACATAACAGCAATCTAATAACTGTGTCTTATAGGCAATATAACAATGATGATGTCAAATGAACTTCAGCCTCAACCAGAAGATGAAACAGCTATATATACTGAAGGTTCTATTATCTCATTTTACATCTGATCTATTCTTGCTTTTTGAGCTTTGTTTTATATGACTTTTGACAATCAAAAAAAAGACTACCTGTTTTCTGCTTGTATTCAGAGAATGAGAACTTAGCATATGATGATCATTGCTGGCATCATATTTAATGTCTGTTATATGCTTCTAATGATTGTTGCCAGCAACTTGGACTACCACTCTCATCTGTACTTTGTCTTTTTCAATCCTGTTTAATATACTATGCATCTGTTTTGTAAGTATCATTCTGCAAAATATTTTTTGTGGCTAAAGATGTATTGCCAGACTTGTATCTTTCTCTCTGGCATATGCAGTTAAAGTAAGCTTGTGTTTTTATAAATCTCTTTATGGAGAACATGTTGAGAGTATGAGCTATGACTACAGATACAGTCATATAGACTCCAAATTAATTACTGGTTCTAGCAATTTTCACTGTTTATACAGCCACATATTTTAGTGATTTACCATCCACTAAGATGTGAGTACATTACATCTACTTATATCATACCTTACTAATTCACAGTAGATACATCTATTTTTTTGCTTCAGGCCAATCCTCACTGCACTTGCTTTATTGTGAAGTCTCACTACTGTATCCTCTAAGATTCTCTGGTCCACTGCTCAACAGGTTATAGGCTCTGATGACATGTCTTCACTGATTTCTACTATCAAACTCTTTAATCTGCCTCATGTAAAAGACAATGGCATGAACTACATCTTATACAGAAAATAGATTCCAAATGTGGCCATCTCAAAAAAGCTTAGATAAGTCCTGTATAGAACTGTCAAGAAGCCCATAGAGATGACAGAGACAGATGAAGACTATTACCTACCAGAAAACCTTATACTCTTATTTGAAGATAAAGTTGAAAAGCAACTGACCCTTCAGGATGCATATGATCAGAAGGAGGCATAGGTCTGCAAGATAATGTATGAAACAATTAGCACTTCAACCTTTATGCAGATCAAAAATAAACCCTCTGCTACTGCAATGTAGAAGAAGCTCACTTTTATCTTCAAAGAAAAAGATATTTTGATACAGCAGAACCTACTCAACAAGCTCTAAAATCAACACAGTCCTGATGATGGAGATATCTGAATTCACTTTACCAATATGTCTAGGATGAGAGAAGAACTCACCATAATGAGAAAGTCCATCAGTGATAACTCTTATGCCATCTACATCTGAACATCATCCTTAATAAGCTACAGACTCACACTCAAGATACTTAATATTGCCTCATAGATAATTGGCAAACCCATATGAAGCAGCCTTCTGATTCAGCAGATCCAAGAGACCACTGATCAAAGGCAAGTAGAGAAGAACATTGATGAGTCTGTACAGAACTCAGCACTGTTCTCAAGCAACAATAAAGGAGGAAAAAAGAGTAAAGAAAAGGCTATTGCAAAAATAGAGGCAAAAAAAAGCAATAATAGCCTGCACTGCAACAACTGGAGCCATAACAACCACATCAAGAGGGACTGCTATAGAGAGGGAGGAGGCAAAGCAGAGCAAGCACCATAGGACAAGGCTAAAAAGATAGCCCAGGCCAACATGGCAGAGAAGGCAAACAATGAAACACTTATAAAATATGGATTCACAGCCATTCTAAATGTCAAAAGCTCCAGTCCTCAAGTGCACATCTGACTACCCAGCAGATGCACAAGCTCCCACAGCTCTGGACAATGACACAGCATCTGAAATCATTGATACTGGTGCAAGCAACTATTTCACTAGCTGCTGCAAATGATTCAGCAATTTTACAGCTATTAAGCCTATTTTTATTAAGGCAGCAGATAGCCAAACATTCAGCATGACAGGTAAAGAAGATTATCCTATTCAGTTACTGATGGGACCAGACCAAAAGCCAATACCTGTCACCTTTCATAACATCTACTACTCACCTAGCATGGCATTCATGCTCATATTAGTTAGCTGTCTAGATCATAATGGACACTCACTCACCATTAAGGATGGCCATTGTATGATACAAAGCCCACAGCCCAAACATAAAACAGTTGGCATAATATCAGTGATTAGAGACCTATACTGTATAACTGCCTTTATAGTGCTAATATCCATATAGACTAACATCTCTATCACTGTACTCTCTGAATGTCTCATAACCATAAAAGAGTTTTATAACCTTATAAGCCACCTAAGTAAAGCTATTCTCATTGTCATACAAAATCCAGATTGGTATATAGTATTCAGATTGATGTAGAAACTAAGATTAGGTTCTGCCAAGCATGCATTCAAGTCAAAGCCACCAAAAAGCCCTTCTCAAAGATCAGTCAGGAAAATAAAACAGCAAAAGCATGTAGCAATAAAGTTGTAACAGATATCTGAGAACCCACTAACACTGAGTCAATCAGTGATCACAAGTATAGTAACAACACTTATTAGAACATCTCATTATGAGAAGAAAAGGTCTACTTTATAAAGAAAAAGTCTGAATCTTACTTATGCTATCAGAAGTATGAGCCTTGGGCAAAGATGCAACATAATGCAAAGAATGTTCAGATGCTTGGCTCAGACTAAGAAGGAGAATTCATGAGCAAGAAATTCAAGAATCACTTTGACCTTGCTGAAACAACTTGTCATTTGACAGTCCATGACTTGCTCCAATCCAACAGAATAGCAGAGTATAGCAACTACTCACATCTTGAAGGTGCTTAAGCAATGTTAATCCAAGCAAGGCTGCTACCATATCTATAGGCAGAGGCTGTCTCACATAAAGTATAGCTAAAGAACAGAATAGCCTACAGCATATTAAAGAGAAATATCACTCCACATAAGAAGGCAACTCACCAGAAGCCTGATCTCTCTCAGCTACATGAATTTGAATGCACTGTATGGGTTAAAAAGCTCAGATGAAGCAAGCTTCAACCTCAGGCAGATGCTAAATGCTTTGTCAGATTTAATAAAGAATCCAAAGGTATTTGAGTATACTGGCCTGGACAGAGAAGAGTTAGCATTGAAAGAAACATCTACTTTGATAATAATGATGAGCCTGAAGATGTCAAGATTGAAGGGGAGACAGTAACCAATCTCAATCCAGATACTCCTGACTCAAGCCTGAAGCCTCATAATCAAGCAAGTGAACTCATAAATCTCAAAACCCCATCAGATACTATTAGAATTTAAGCTGTAGAAAGATGTTTTCAGTCTTTGGAGTAAGTTGTAAAAGGACTGAGGTAGCTGAGTAGAGAGTATGCTACTCATATATATATACTGTAGCAAACTAGGTGGCATTATTACATTGTCATCTAGAATAAGCATGATGAAATAGAAACAATAGCAAAATTCTAACAATACAGTTCTCAGTGGCACACTTACATTGTATGTATTATATGTGTACCAACACTCCTCCTCACTGAAAACTCCTTCTGACTCTTTTGTCTACAAGAGGCCTATAAATCCTTATAAGTGGATGAATTGAGCAGGCTGCAGTACTTTAGTAAAGCAGTCTGCAATGTTGTTCTTAGTATTAACATAGTCCAGTAAGATCTTCTTATTTTTAATGTATTCTCAGATAAAGTGATACTTTATATCTATGTGCTTGACTCATGCATGAAATGATGGATCTTTAAATAGGTTGATAGTGCTATTGTTATTGCAGTTGATTATAGTAGTGTTACATTGTTCAAAGCTAAGTCCTAAAAATAGCATCTGAATCTATACAGCTTCTTTTGTTGCCTCATATGCTGTCATATATTTGGATTTGCAGGATAATACAGTGACTGTTGGCTGATGTTTCACTGTCTAAGATATAAGTCCAGATTCCAATATGAAACAATATCTGCTGATATTATATCAAGTATTAAGACAATTAGTTCAGTCTGAGTTGGTGAAACTAGTGAGTCTAATATCAGAATATCCATCCAGATACAGGCTTAGATTTCTAGTGCTCTTGAGATATCAGACTATATGAAGGGCAGCATTCCAGTGGATAAATGAGAAGGTATCCAGAAAACAGGATAGTTGTTAAACAGCATAAGCAATGTCAAGATAGGTTTCAATTGCAAGATAGATAGAGGATTCTATGAGTGACTGGTAGGATAGTTTCTGCAAGGCAGTTTGATCCTCTTTAAAAAGGTGAAATAGATCAAGTTGACAAAGCTTCAATTCTGAGTCCATAGGTGTTGCTATTGGGTGGGCATCTTTCTGGCCATACTGAGAGATTATTCTGTTGATAAGAGCAGTTTGAGATAATGCAATAGTCCTATTCAAATAGTCTCTGAAGACAGTGATCCCTATACAGAATTTAGCTTCTCTTAGATCAGAGATAGTCCATTTCTATCACATTTGGGCCTTGAACCATTCATTCTCCTCCTTTAAACTGGCTATAGAGAGAAAATCATTGATATAGACAGCAGCTATCACTGTGCCAGTTGCAGTCTTCCTGCAGTAAATACAGTACTTACTGCTGAGGCATATGAAATCTCAGGATATCATTGCTTCATTTATAGTGCAGTTCCAGATGTGGCCACTCTACTTCATGCTATACAGTCCATGCTGGAGCTTCCAAACCCAGTCTTTTTTACTGGGTTCTTCAAAGTCTTTCAGCTGTTCCATGTACTGAGTTTCATCTTTAGGTAGGAGTTTATAAAGGAAAGTAGTTTTAATGTCAATTTGCTGAGCATCTCAGTAAAGAGTGGTGGCTAGATGCAACAGAATATGCTAGGATTCCATGTGAGTGGTGGAAGATGTGGTCTTTATGTAGTTTCTACCATAGATCTGTTCAAAACCTTTGAAGACAATGCATACTTTCCAGTGAACTGCAGAGTCAGCCTCATCTCATTTAACTTTGAATACAGGCTTACTCTTTTAAATTTTTTGACTAAGAGGAACAGACAAATATAGAACAAGTTTATAGACACCTATTTATTTTAGAGACTTCAGCTTATCTTGATAACCTGCAAGCCAATAGTCAGCATCTGCAGAAGCATTTGCTTCTTCCCATATGATAGGTTCATCACCCATTTATAAGACAGCATAGACTTTCTTCTCAACAGCTATGAAAGCTTTATCAAGGTAGTTCACCATGCTAGTACCCAGAAGCTTATTGAAAGATGTCTTCAATTTCTCTCTAGCAGCATTTTCAGCAATAGTAGGGTTCAGTTCAGCTGTCTAGTGAGTCATTTCCATCACAGCTCACTTTTGCTCATCTCATGCAGCCTTGGCCTATTGTTCAGCCTGTCAAGCCTCATCTATAGCATGTTCAAGTCAACTTGGACCATTCTTATCAATATTCAGAATCTACAAAGATTATCTAAGTTGTGAAATGGGATCTGAGGCATCAGCAAGAGGTATTAGATTAGCATTTTAAGCAGAAAATATAGACACTTCAGCAGGAGCATCAGACAGAGGTTTATTCACAGTGAAGGGCTTCTTGAGTGTTTTAAAAGCAGTGGCAGTAGTGAGGTTGGAGATGGTAGTGAGCATGCTTAGAGAAGGAACAGGTTCAGATGCAAGCATAGATGTGATGGGAGATCTGAGAGATTAGTGACTCTTGATGAAGACTCTATAGTGAGAGGTGATGATATGATAAGATAGTGCATGGTAGCAATGGTAAGCCTTCACATTGGGTTCATAGCCAATGAGTATGCATTCAACAGACCTTTCTAAGATTTTGGGATTGTATCAGTTCTGAATTAGCACAAAGGCTTTACATTCTATTTCTCATAGATGAGATAGATTAGGCTTCTATCAATACTACATCTCAAATGGAGTTTTTCCAGTTAGCAATTTCACCATTGTGAGATTATCAAGATATTGTGTAGTAAGATAGAATTCATCTCACAGATTTTCTGGACACTTTGCATCAAGTCACATAGTTTTTGCCTTGTTCATGAGAGTACAGTGATAATGCTCAACTTGTCCAATATGAGCAGATGTGTAGAGTGCTGTGAACTCATGCATGGTTTCCTTTGTTTTGAGCCAGTCACTCATTTTCACAATTCTAAGTTCACTATTATCAGTGCAATATACTCTGACTTTCTGTCCAGTCTCAAGCTCTCTGTTAGACCCAAATATCACATGAATAGAAACATGTGATAAATAGAAGCTACCTCGCACTTTGGATAGTCATCTGAGTTCACTGATGCACTTCTAACTCAGTGTGTCACAAGGCTAAAAGGGATCAGCTCAAGAGTGGAATGGTGTGAATAAACTTTAGCTTGAAGCTGAGGCTTAGACAGTGAGAGTGAGCTCCTTAAATACTGTACAGGTTACTACCTAAACATGAGTCTACTAATTGTGGGTTACTGGGGTTTTTGTGCTCATTGTCCTTGAGCATCTCTACAGTCCATAAAAAAACAATTGTGCATCATCAAGCAATATTGTTGCATCAGAGAACAATGACAGACTTGGCCTGTTGTGATGATTAAGCCTGGTCCCATAGTTCTAAGCACTTGTTCTAGTGCCCTGACTAAGCATAAATAGGGGTTCAAAGAGTAAGAAAAGGGGAAAATCATAATATTACCCTCTCCTTAAGACCATCATCCTGATGGCTTAATTTAAGGATAATTCATAGTCATGTATGGTAGTGTCTGCATTCATCAGCTTTTCATTGACTCACTGGTTGGATTCTGGACCATATCCTTTCCAACTGATGAGGTAGCCAACTGTTGTGGTTGTGCTGCCTCCCTTCACCTTCACCTTTCATAATTTGTGGTTCAGAACTTGGTTGATTTCATAGTGTTTTTTGTCATTGATGAGGTCAGATGGAGATGGCAGTGGATATTCTTGATTAGGAAATGCTGGTATGATGTATGGGATCAACAGCACTTTATTAAAGAAGTCATTTACTTTCCAAGTTGAAGGCAGTCACAGTTTGTAAGCACCTATGCCAACTTTGGAGATGATGGTGAAAGGGCCAGTATGTTTATCAGCAAGTTTTCATTTTGGGCATGGAAGATGAAGATTGGTTGTGTTGAGCCAGACTTCATTATTGAGGTTATATATATGTGCTGGGCAGCAGTGTTTATTGTATTGCTTTATCATGGTGGCTGCAGCTTTTTTGAGGGTGGTCTGGGTTTTGCTGTGGATATTTTTCATTATCATGGCAAAGTCTCTGGAGGCTGGAGTCATGGTGTGGTGGTGTTCAGTTTGGGAAACATTTGGATGTCTGCCATGATTAATGAAGAACAGGGTTTTCCCTGTTGCCAAATATATGCAGTTGTTATGCTGGAATGTGGCAAGCACTAGCCACTCCACTCAGTCATCTTATCAGTAGTTGATAAATAGGTGAAGATATTTCTCCACCTCCTGGTTGGCACACTCAGTTTGCTCATCTGTCTGAGGGTGATATGTGGTTGAGGTGTTTTATTTGATATTTAGGAGATGGTAGAGGTCGTCTAGGAATTTGGAGATGAATTGCAGACCCCTATCAGATATAACAACTTGAGGCATTCTGTATTTTGCATAGACCTTATCATGCAGGATTTTTGCCCACCCTTCAGAGGTTAATTCTGTTGAACATGCAATTGGGATGATCACTTTTGAGAAGTGATCAACTATGATGATGATGGCATTATAACCATTGCATTCCAGGAGTCTGGTAATCATATCGACCAAGATATGTGTCTATAGTGATAAAGAGATCTCGTTCAGGTGAAGCAGAGTGGCCTATAGTTGCATTGATGACTTTTCTCATTGACAGACTTCACATGCTTTGATATAAGCAGTGATGTCTGTGCTCATCTTCAGCCACCAGTATTTATGTAGGATCAATTCTTTGGTCTTGGTGATATCAGGATGTCCAGTGGTGGCATGATCATGACAGGTGGTGATAATTTCACCATATAGTCCTTGGTCCCAAGGGATATAGATCTGTCTGTCATAGCAGATCATTTCTCCCTCCCTTGTCATCTCTCGCTCATGATTGAGCAATGGAGCTACTCATTGGTCCCATTTATGGCTATCCTGAGTGGCACTCTTGATGCACTCATGGATTTCCTCCTTGGTAGGCATTATCATGGTCCAAAAGTGTTCAGGTTGTAATAGCATTACCCTCTCATTGTCACTGCTCCCCTGGTCATGATCTGCTCTCTGGCTCAGAAGGTCAGTCTTCTTGTTTGCTGCTCCAGCTTTGTGATGGAGCATGTATTGATATTGGCTGAGCTCTGTGATCCATCAGGCTTACTGGTGATTTAATTTTTGGGGTTGCTGGAAATATCACAGGTTTTGGTGATCAGTCCAGATCTCGAAGATGTCAGTGGCCCTAATCAAGTAATGCCACCACTCTTCTAGAGCTAGCATGATAGCAAGTAGCTCTTTGTCATAAATCTTGTAGTTCCATTCTGTAACTGTGAGTGCCTTGGAGAGAAATACAACTGGTCATCACTTCCTGTCCTGTTGCTATGAGAGCACAGCTCCAATGGTGCTTTCACTGGAATTGGCTTTGACTCAGAATTTTCCATCTTGCATAGGGATGACAAGTACTACATCCTCCACTAGACATCTCTTGAGGTCATCAAAGGTGGCTTGCTGAGTCAGACCTCAAGTCCATAGGGCATTTCCAGTGAGTTGTGTCATAGGGTGGATGATTTTGCTGTAGTCACAGATGAACTGTTGGTAGAAGTTAGTGAATCCTAGAAAGGACTGAAGTTCCTTCTTCTTGACTGGTATGGGCCATTTGGTGACTCTGGCAATCTTGACAGGGTCCATGCATATACTTCCTTTGCTGATGATGACTCCAAGGTACTCAGTTTCAAGCACCTCAAATTTGCACTTCTCCACTTTGAGGAACAACTTGTGCTTCCTCATTAGCATTAGCACCTGGCATACCAATCTCCTGTGTTCTTCCCTTGTTTTGGACATAATGAGAATATCATCAAGGTATATGGTGACCTCCCTGGTAGTGATGAGATCCTTAAAGATATCATTCATCATCCACTGGAAGGTGGCAGGTGAGTTGGTCAGCCCAAAGAATATTACTGTGGATTTAAACAATCCTTGGTTAGTTCAGAAGGCCACCTTCCACTCATCACCCTCTTTAATTCATACATTGTTGTATCTCCATTGTATGTTGAGTTTGGTATAATATCAGACCCTTTGGAGTTTATCCATTAGTTTCAAGATCAGAGGTAACAGATAGTGATTTTTGATCATCATTTTGTTTAGTTTGTGATAGTCTTATACTGGGCAAAGTTTACTGTCCTTCTTTTTGATGAAGAAGAAGGGTGAGGCCATAGGGGATTTGAAGGGTCATATCCTCCTGCTGGACAGGTTTTCATCAAGGAACTTATCAAGTTCCTGTTGCTCATGATTCTCCAGTGGGTAGATTTTGCAATCAAGGTTTGTGTTGGCATTTAGGATTAGTTTGATGGTGTGGTCTCAGGGTTTGAGTGCTGGAAACTCATCAAAGCTCTCTTTCTCAAATAGATCCCAGAACTCCTGAGCCTATTCAGAGACCATTTCTTTGAATGTCCTTTCCTCCTTCTGTTAATTGGCCTTAGCTGCCAACTCATTGGCATGATGTATGGCTTGGATCAGGACTTCCCTTTAGATGTTGATAGCCAGTATGGTTTGTCCATCCTCTATTTCTTCATCCCATTAATCTTCCAGATCCTCATCAGGTAATTTGAAGGGGATTTTGTGGTATTTACACTATGTGAAGGTAATCCTTCTGGTCTTCCAGTTGATCAATGGATTATGGCAGATCAACCAGTCATGACCCAGAAAGATTTCCTTGGTGCCTAGATCTGTGACTGCCAAGTCAATCCTTTCTGAATGGTCTCCTATTGTAAGTTGGAGTTCAACAAATTTGGTGATTGAGCCAGCTTGGTTTTTGGTTCTATCAGCATTGTAGACAGGAATGGATGCCACAGTGGTTCTGGTGGGCAATTTGTGTTGATTGATGAAACTTTGGTTGATCAAGCTCCCAGTGCAACTGCTGTCAATCAGGGCTATGACCACATGTGTGGAGCACTTTGTGAGCAATTTGATCTGGGCTTTGATGATGAGGTTCCATCCTCTGGTTTTGGTTTGCCTAATAAACTTCTGAGGTCCCTTGAGCTCATCCAACCACTCTAAGGCTCAGATCCTTCCTGCTTCTTTGATTCCTTTGATAACTTCATTGACTACTTCTTTGGCTCTGGTTTTGTGGATCCAGTTCTGAAGTATGGCCTTTGCCACACTTTCATTTGTCACATCTGTGATGGCCTGCCATGTCCATTCTGTTTTAAATGGTTTGAGCCATATAGTGGGACTCTCTGTCTCTGTTCAGCCTGAAGGCATTTGAGTTTCTTTTTGTGATTCTTCAATGTGTGAGGTATTTTTCTGGGGTATATTCAAATGCATGGGTAATACAGGCATAGGCACAACTATAGAAATACTATCAGTCCAACTTGCAGCTGGGATTTGCACACTGTAAAGTCTGTTGGCCAGTCCAGTGGAATTGCTCACTGGCTGGCCCCATCTTTTACTTCCTCGACCTTTGTTTTGGCCCCTAATTCTTTATCTTCCTTCTGCAATTCAGTGATTTGTGTGCAGATGTCTTCTCTGATGTGCTTCTTTTTGGGACAGTCCTTGGCCATATGACCCTTCTGTCTGCAATTGAAGCACTTTCCTTCTTTCTTCATGTGGTCTATATCCATTGGTTTTCCAGTTCTCATGTAAGTCATGCCAGTACCTGTCTTCTGAGTGGTATAAGATGGTGAGGCCATAGAGGATCTCTGTGGTTTTCTAGCAGTTGTCCCCAATTTGTTTGGGGTTGGCAGGATCAATTTCTTGGGATAGTCTTGCAATGTTGATGATTCCACTTTCTGCCTTTGCCACTTCTTATACATCTTGACAATCCTTTCCTTCCATTCATCATATCCAACTGATATCAGAGCCTTGACATCTATTGCTGAGATCATCATGATGTAAGAGGAGAGGACCTCTCACTTGAGGGCTTTGACTATCTGGCCATTATTGGCAACATCATCTCATATTCTGGCAAGCTTAGCAAGGCATTCCAGTTCATCAAAGTAATCCATTGCTGCCTTATCTCTCATCTTATACTCCTTGATCTTTTGTTTGTGCATCTCCTGCACTGTGGGGTCAATGAATTTGTTATTCAACATCTGTTTAAAGATGGGCCACAATGAGTAACAATAGTGTCCTTGAGTAGTGGATTGGAAATTGGAGAAGATTAGGATCCACCAGGTTTTTGCCTTCTCTTCAAGGTAAGAGATGGCAAAGATGACTTTGTTCATATCTGTCCTGAGATATCCAATAGACTTTGAAATACTGTTTGCAGTTCACTAAGAAGCAGTCAATGTTGTTGGAAGCCCCTTTAAAGGGTCAGGGCTTCTAGAGCAAGTCAGGATGGCACTGCAGGATGGCTGTGTCTTGTGAAAGTGTGCCCATTGGGTTAGGCCAATCAGAGAATAGCAGGCAGCACCATTCCTGTGGTGGTCCAGAGAAGGAGTGAAGTGAATTGTTGTCAGCTATAGGGCTTTCTTGAGGGAGCTCTTCTTTCTGAATGATTACCCTATGGCAGATGGTGAACCTGAGTCTCACAGCCTCAGGATCATCTCAAATTGGTCCTTTTCCCATGCTGCTCCCTGTTGTCTCATTGGATGAGGGTTAGACCCCAAGCATTTGGCTCTCCTTCCCAGTCCATAGGTTTTGATATGAGGTAGGCACCTTTTCAGGTCAGAGTCAGCTTTGAGTTAGCTGGATTGCCATAGAGTGGGAGGATAGGGTGGAGTATGAAAATTTACTTTGAATAAAAGGGGCCATGTACACAGCTCTCTTAGGAGTGACTGGCAGAGACTGCAGCATTAGTTGTACTTGTGCTAGCATGTAGTATGCCAGCAGCTGCTGGACTTGATCTTTGGGATGCCATTTGTTATATTGAACTGTAGTGTAGTCAGTAGCCACATGTCTCAATATTTCTGTTTTTTCAGTAGAGATAGAATGAAAATATAATTGTCCAAGTGAAGATGCCATCCAGATGGCATCATGCCATAAGAAGTTTATGCCTCACAGGTACCACCCTTGGTATTTCTGCTCTCTTGCTTCCTGCATTGTTCTGATCAATTCTTCTTCATCAGTGTCTTCTGTCATTAAATATGTGAGTTTCCCTCTGGTGCAGAGCAGGTCACTTTCTTCAGTTTCCTCCTCTTTCTTGTCCTCATCATCCTCTTCCTCAAGATGGAAATTATCAGACAGGTTGTAGTAACTCTCCTCATCCCCTGATGGTCAGATTGTCACTCTGCTATCCTGGCTGGGTGCTGGGACCAGCAGTGGGGCCTGAGGCTTCAGAGAGGTTGAGGTAGGTGGAGGCTGGCTGACTGCCAATATGGTTATCATATTGATTTCCCCCTGTTGCTCTCGCCATCTCCACTTGCTCACAATAGAGCTGGATATTTCACTGGTACCCATCATTGAGAAGTTGTCCAACCACCCTGCTCCTGAAAAACCCTCAGAGAGTGCAGACAGAGATGTGAGCTGTCTCAGGGACTCATAGCCTATAGTGTCTGAGAACAGACTCATCATTGCTGAACATAGTGTCAGTGCTGGGGGTTCAGCAGAGAGAGGGATACTGGGGGGTTGAGAGGCATGGGAGAGTTCCAGGGATCTGTCCACTGGCAGCAAGAGTTTTATTTTGCCAGTGATTCTCACTCCATAGGTCAGAGTCAGTATTAGGCTTTTGAAAGACAGGAGTTAAGAGGGATGGGTCAGCTTAGACAGGTGCAAGTACAGATGCGACCTCAGGCTGGATTTCATACCAGTTGGAGATGTTTGCCCTCTCCAATTGAGCCCTTTCGATGGCTTGCTGCTCTTCCCTATGCTCAGTGTCATGCTCAGTGGCCTGCCTCCTCTGTCTCCTGCTTTCAAGGATATGCTCCTCAAGCTCACTGAAAACTGGTCATGGTGCTGTTCGCTGCCTCTGCTCTTCCTGTCAAAGGGCCTCATCATAGTTGAAGAGGACATTGGTGTCCCAGGCAGGGAAGTTTCTGTGTATGACTTCATCTCAGGCCTTTCTGTTTCGGCACTCATCATTGAGCCAGTCTGAGGGTGACCTTCTCATCCCACCACTAGTCCTGACTGAGCATAGAGAAGTTGTGGCAGAGCTAGCAGGCTGATTCCTAGGTGTCATGTGTCAGGATCTTTCAGCCATCTGAGTGGGACTGAGAGAGTCTCTGGCATGGTTACCAATCTCTCTGGTTGGAGAGGCAGGGGCAGAGTTGGGAGAGGGAGACTGCTGAAAGAAGTCTCTCAGGATCTCTTCATCTTCATAGTCAGGGGGTGGTCCAGAGATCTATGGGTTTTAGAATTCCATGAGACAAGGGTCATGGTCTCAGCTAGGTCATCAGGGAGGGTATTGGTGTCTTTCTTCTTCTTGAATGTCTCTCTGATGTGGGCTGCTAGGCCCAGCTTCTGGTAAGGGGCTTGTTGGGGACTGATGGGACATTCATCAAGATTCAGAGATGTCATAGAGCAGGAGGTTGGAGGTTACATTTTATAAGATATGTCAGATATGCTGGAATTTGTTATAATGTCTGATAGCCTAGGCAGTGATTGAGTGGCATCCTCAGCACAGCTGGATGATCACCAATAATTCTAATAGTGTTCTGATGATGGAAGCAAGGAGTTCAAAGAACTCATGGTCAAAGTTTGGGTTTGATGGATTGATAGAGGGCATTTGGTTTCCTCCACACTAATGGGCATGAGAAAAGGGAAGGAACAGCTTTGAGCTAATTGTTAGACCCAAGCATCACATGAATAGAAACACATGATAAACAGAAGCTACCTCACACTTTGGGTAGTCATCTGAGTTCACTGATGTGCTTCTAACTCAGTGTGTCACAAGGCCAAAAGGGATCAGCTTGAGAGTGGAATGGTGTGAATAAACTTTAGCTCAAAGCTGAGGCTTGGATAGTGAGAGCAAGCTTCTTAAATACTGTACAGGTTACTACCTAAACATGAGTCTACTAATTGTGGATTACTGGGGTTTTTGTGCTCATTGTTCTTGAGCATCTCTATAGTCCATAAAAGAATGATTGTGCATCATCAAGTGATGTTATTGCATCAGAGAACAATGATAGACTTGGCCTGTTGTGATGACTAAGCCTGGTCCCATGGTTCTAAGTGCTTGTTCTAGTGCTCTAACTAAGCATAAATAGGGGTTCAGAGAGTAAGAAAAGGGGAAAATCATAACACTCTCATGCACACTCCCAGGCCTGAAGTTCAGTGAATGCATCACCTTTATTTTTCAAGAGAATGGATCAGGCTTGACTCATGAAGTTGTTGACAATATCCATAATATAATGGTATCCTGCCCAAGAGACAGTAGCCTGCAGACCTGCCAAGTCAACTCACACAATGCCCAGCAGTCTCATTGCTCTGTGTCTCTCCTCATATGTCTTTGGTACTGGCATCTTTGTCTGTTTACTGATAACACAGGGTTGGCATTTAGAAGGTACACAGGAGAGGTTGGCATGCATACTTTGAGTGACACTAGACTGGATCATTTTGGCTATTGCCTGGTAATTGGTATGTCCAAGATATCTGTGCCAGGTTTCAAGGTCAATAGGCAATGTTGTGGCAATTAAGGTGTGTTCAACATTAGCTTTATGAGTGGCAAGACTATACAGTTGTCTGAGTGTACTTGTTGACATAGAGTTTGACTGTTTCAATCTCAAGAGCTGTGATGGTTGAATTACTAATGTCTCAGATAGAATGAGGTGGAATAGATTTCAACATGAGGAAATCTCCATAGTATGGAGTGATATGTGCCATGGTGCCAGTGTCAAGGAAGAAGAGGTAGTCTATCAGAGACAGAAGAGTAGAATTCTTTTGATTTAATGGGAAAATAGACAATGCAGTGGTATTGTGAGCCTGGTATTCTTTGTTCCAGTTGACTGATGAGTTGATATTATCTTCAAAAGCTAGCTAACCTTCATATTTGACATGGTCAGCTATTGACAGATCCAGAAGAGTGTCTAAGAAGGCAACAGTAGCATCAGATGGTAATCTAGAAAATTCTGATGCATTAGAGCTATTGTGGAGAATCCAAAGTGATATTACCAGTAGTGGAATCAAGAAGATAAGCAGTACTATGGGTAGGATCTTTAAGAATTATGAGGTGATCTTTTTTTTTCAGCCAGTTTGCTCTTCTCTTTCTTCTTGGTTTCACAATCCTGTCACTTCACAGCTTTGGACTCCTCAGTTGTCTTTCCAGCCATTCCACCTCTGTTAGCAACACAATAAGAAATAGTGTGACCCTTCAGCAATAGGCAAGAGAAGTTGGTACAACTCAGAGATGTATGAGAAGTATTGCACAAGGTAGCCACTAGAGCTATGTCCTTGGTGGTCTTGTCATCTGTATCAAACAATTGCTGCTGAGTGTCAAGATCTCAGCAAATGTCAGAAGATTTGATGAGATCCTCCTTTATGGACCTGTTAATAATCTATGCTATTGATATTCATACAGAGAGCAGATCTCTGGACATAGCATTTAGCATCAGAATACAAAGAAACAGATCAGTTATAGGCTGGCCTATGTTCCAAATCCTGATATTCAGTTTGAACAGATGAGCAGTCATAGTGGCAAGATGTTCTTAACATATGTACCAGATGGTGAGAGCTTTCTGAATCAGATTGATTTGGACTATGAGGCCCTCCTGCTTATTGCAATTAGACAGTGATTTCTAGACTTCCTTAGCCAGTACAGAGCTTAAGATAGATATATATTTCTTTTTGTCAGAGTGGCATTTCATCTGGATAAAACTAATGACTGTGCAATTATTTGTTGATCAGTTCTGAGCTGCAATAGGTTTCTTGTCAGGATTGGAGGGTTTCCAGATACTAAAGAGATAGTGATCAAGGCTTCTAGATAAGACAAAGAGGTTGAGAATGTCTCAGCTCTATGAGCATCAATTATTTTTCTCCTTATCTAGGATATCGCCAGCAAAAAGAGCTGCCTGGATGTGGATGAGAAGAACAGATGATTTTGAGGATGTTTCAGCCATCATCATGTAACAGAAAAAATTAATAGTTAAGTCCAGATTCCAATGTCTCAGAGATAGCAGCAAATCCATAATCTATTAGAATCTAAGCTGTAGAAAGATGTTGTCAGTCTTCAGAGTAAGTTGTAGAAGGACTGAGATAGCTGGATAGAGAGTATGCTACTTATATACTGTAGTGAACTGCATAGCATTATTATATTGTCATCTAGAATAAGCATCATGAAATAAAAACAATAGCAAAATTCCAACAATACAGTTCTCAGTGGCACACTTATATTATATGTATTGTATGTGCACTAACAGATACATCTCATGAATGTTCACCATCACCACTTACACCACTTTCAGACAGTCTCAGCTCTGCTCCACATGAGTAACATATCCAAACTACAGATAATGCCAAAAATCAAGAGGATCCTGAATCTCTTGAAAAAGGCCATCATGCTAGAAGAAAGTCAAAAGGCTTCTATAATGATAATAGGCTATCAAAGCAGTCTACAACCAAGCACACTCTTATTATTGAAGATAAAAGGAGCACTGAGTCTGAGGCAGAGCTCAAAGCTAAGAAGGAAGAGTGATTTGCTGGCCTACAAATATTTATACTTGTGACAAGCCATAGAGAGCCTGAAAGCCTACAGGAAGCACTGAAAGGAGATCAGGTAAGGGAATGGAAGTAAGCAGTAGGAGACAAACTGGACAAAGTCAAAGCCCTGAGAACTTATGAAATAATTCTCAGGCCACTAGGCACAAATATGATTGAATACTAATACACTTTTAGAGCTAAAAGAGACAAAATGAACAGAATTGTATACTACAAAGCACACCTCATACTCAAAGACTTCTCTCAGATATATAGCATTGACTTTCATGAAACATTCACCTCAACTGTCTGACTCACAATTCTCCACATACTACTATCTGTCACAGTAAGCAAAGGCTCAGCAATCCAATAAGCTGATGTCAAAAATGCCTACCTGCAAGCAGAGCTCAAGAAAACCATCTATATGGAACTCCTTTCCATGTACAATACATTTCAAACCATTCCTGAGCACTTGAAGAGCAAGTAACTAATGTGCAAGCTCCTCAAACCACTCTATAGCAGCTGTCAAAGTGCAAATGAGTGGTACAACAAGCTAAAGTGTTTTCACACAGCTAGAGTATCAAGTATGTCAGTTGGATGAAGCTGTATTCTACAGATTTATTGGCAACAAGTATATTATTGTTGATGCTATCACCAATGATTTCACTATAATAGCAGCCTCAGATGACTCTGCAACTCTTATTAAGAAGTAGCTAAATGAGCACTTCAAAATGACTGATCTTAGCACTCTTCACTAGCTACTCAGCATCAGCATAAAGCATGACCTGACTGTAAAAACTATCATACTAGAGCAGTGGAGATATATTGATGCAATAATCAAGGACACAGATCTAGAGAATGCCAGAACAGTCACAATGCCTCTCAAGCCTAGAGTTGACCTCATCTATGACTCATCTTCTATCTCAAAAACTGTCTTATCCTCATGTGAGCAGAGCCATACATGGACAAGCCAAGAACAACCCACTGGGATGTCATTATCTGCATTTTCAAGTATCTAAAGAGAATAATCTATCTTGCACTTATACTCAGTGGCAAAAACATGTCTCTGACCAGATACACAGATGCTGATTGGAGCTCACAAATACATAGGTATTTGATTTCTGGCTATATCTTCTTTATCAGAATCAGAGCTGTCTCATGGAGTTCTAAAAAGCAACTGATCATCACAGCATCTATAACAGAATCAGAATATATTGTGATGACTCACTCATCAAAAGCACTGCTCTGAATATGAAAGATATTCATAGAGTTGATCTGCCAGCTCATCAGCTCTACAACTCTCTTTTTGGATAACAAGAGCACTATACAGCTCACCAAGGACTCTATGTTTCATGCTAGAACTAAGTATATCAATATTCAGTTTTATTTCATGCATCAGACAATCAGCCTTTGACAAGCTGACCTCAAGTACTGCTCCACCAATGATATAATTGTTAATATCTTCATGAAGTCACTGGCTCAAGTCAAGCTGGAGAGGTTTTGTACACTGTTAGGCTTTGCATAGGTTAAGCAGTTGAGCTCAAGGAGGAGTGTTGAGAATATAAGCCATGACTGCAGGTACAGTCATACAGACTCTAAATTAGTTACTGGTTCTAGCAATTTTTACTGTTTACACAGTCATATATTTTAGCAACTTATCACCTGCTAAAATGTGAGTACATTACATCTACTTATACTATACCTTACTAATTCACAGTAAATATATCTATTTTGTTGCTCTAAGCCAATCCTTACTGCACTTGCTTTTCCATAAAGTCTTGCTGCTGTGTCCTCTCAGATTCCTCAGTCTACTGCTCAACAGAATATACATTTATTCTACTGCAGTGCTAGGTCTTTCTTGTTTTAACTCATGCCATCTATAGAGGTGACAATACACTATCATCATCTGCTCATACACACATTGGTGAGTCATGCTTGCTTTATTTGATTTGTTTGTTTATATAGCATGCATTTAGCTGCTGATAGTTTTCTTATTTATTTTTATAGTGGTTTTCTCTGTGATACTTTTAATAATAAGAGATGCTTCTTTTATTTGAGAAATAGCTGACTCATATTATAGATGGATCTCTGACAATAAGAGACTATTGAATGCAATGAATGGAGTCTATACTGTTATTCAACTGCATCATCTCCATAGAGAAATAAGATAGAGAGATTAGTAGACTATGAATGCCAGTGTAAGAACTAGAGTGACAGTCACACTAAGAGCCTAAGAGTTTGATTGGTATAGATCAATCTTGGCTTAAGACTAGAGTACATCATTATAAACTACTGGCTTAAATACTGTCCAGAAATGTCTTGGCTCTATAGGTGACTATTATCTTATTGTCATGCACACTGTTAGGCTTCTACTAACACTCACAAATCTCTAGCACCACTTCTGCCAGGGTCTAATTATAGATGCTAAGTCTGAGTCTGGTTTTGATATAAAAGTATAATGAGAATGATAATGTAAGCTATAAGGATTTTGTGAAGGAGGATGAAGAGTTGTAGCTGATAGATATAGTCTGCCATTGTGGCAAGAGTATTCACACCAAGTAGTCAGAGAGTTTAGCAGGTGTATTAAATCTTAGCTCAAGACTGGAATACATCAGTGTATACTACTGCCTTATATACTGTCTAAAGAATCCTATGCTCTATAGATGACTATTGTCTGCTTTTCATGCCCTCTGCTCATTGTCTGAGATAACAATGACTGTGCTCTTGCTTTTGTTTGTTATTATCTCTCTACTGTACCATCACTATAGTGAGTTTCCCATATACCACAGTTCTCATTGTATTCAAGATGTGAGATAATGATAGTTACCACATTGTTCCTTGTTATCTTATTGTGCATCAATGAATAAGATGTAGCCATGATATCATCATGTCTTTATCATCTTTTGTAAGGTTGGCCTGAGGTTGAGATTGGTAAGCATCTGCTTACTAAGCATTG